AGTTACAATTCACTTCCTCTCCTAAATTTGCTTTTTATAAATCACACTATAATTCACAGCCATCTCTCTGTGTACTGAGTATAGTACAAGAGAAACCGACCAGAACCCAAATCATTCTATTTGGAGCTGCTGATGGCCTTTTAAAATATACTGTCTACTCACTAATTGCCCAATAATGGCTTGATGTTTATTTTCATAAAACATAACATTCACAATCTTTAAAAACCATACAGTGAAAGCAACTGTTTCACATTACATATGAATGTGAAGTAAAAATGGTGAAATACCTCTAAGATGCCATGTCAATGAGTTATTATTCTTTGCTCAATAGCTTACTTCAACATCCTTCCTTCTCTTCCCACTTAAAGAATGCAAAATTCCATCTTTCTTGTGCTCTTCCTCCAAGACTTACTGAGATGAAGGACAATATGTCACCTCTGAAGGACACTAAAATGCAGCACATCCAATCTGACAACAAGCATTTGCAGAGCTTGTGTGCACATCATACAAACACTATCCAGGATCAAGATCCTAGAAGTATCAATGTGGATAAAAATATTTGATGATGGACATTAAAATTTCATATTAATGCTACATACTTCAAAAACACAAAGTAAGCATGAGTAGAATAAAGCAGGATTGAGACTTCTGAGAAAATGCAAAACTTTTACGATAGTAGACTCGTAGAAAAAGTGAAGGGCCATGGTGGCATGAGGAGAAAGGAGCTGAGTCTTCGATTAGACAACTATGGGGAGGCCTTGAACATGTTGAGAATTTAAGACCCATTCAAATACAATAAAAGCTCTTAGGAATTTAAAAGTAGAGTAGTAGAGTCAAGGAGTAACTCTTTGCTCAGTGAGAGAGAACAAATATTGCCATATTGGTGGGCATCTTCTGATGTGCTGCGCAGCTCCATAATTACCAATAAGCTTCACAAATATAGCTTCTCAACTTACTAAACCCTACCTGATAGTTGAATATTTTCCCTAGTAAATACATATGAGTTTAACTAAATTCTACTTGTTGATGCTCCCTCCCCAAATGAAGATCTAACCTCACTAGAAAAACAATTCAGAGTGTAGTCTATGACTTACATTAGAAGGGTCTTTCATCCAGAAAGACCTAAATTATTTGAATAATTTAAACCGGTCACCAAAAAGAAACTTGTTTGTAACCACACGTGTGGAAATGAAGAATAATGTCACTAGAGTCTATTGTTTCTCCATCATATCCTTCTCAATTTGCTGACAAATCCTGCTGATGACTCATATCCTTCTGCACTAACCAGTCACTCTGTTCCCTCATGATAGGCTTTCACCAACAATGGAAAATAGAAAACACATCAATTTATCTTGCTACTAAAACCAGTAAATATCAACTTATGAATATAAATCCAATTTACAAATACTATGGTGGTACAACCTAGTGAATGCTTCCTATAAAACAGTGCAAAAAAAAATGTTATGCTCAAATCTCAACTAAAACTAAAGGACTGGAAGAAAGTAGATCTGATTGTGAATTTGAATTCTTGTCAAATGATACATTACTTTTAGAGCCAACATTTCTGACCACTGCAGAAATAAAAATATAAAGTAATTTAGCTGATCTGCTAAAGCAAATATATCATGCGTGCATTTTATGCCAAAAGAATTAACATTTCTGAGAATGAAATTTCAACCCAAAAATACTCTTAAAGGAATTAAATACAACAGTTCTCTAAAGGTAAAGACCATTCTAAGTCAACACATTTTTTCAAAACAGGCTCAACTACCAAAGAAAGGGTCATAGAAAAGCTTAATCTTAAAATTCCCTGCAGTTTAAAGCCAATGTTGTGCAATGTAAATTTATATTCCAGTGACGAAATTTACTTTCTAGGCCACTTAAAATGGAGTGGATGCTGTGTTACAGAACCTATGGGCAAGAAATCAGTGCAAACAAACAAAAAACACTTGTATTCAAGTCACATAAAAACTACTGGTATAATGTGTCAACTCCTAATAGTCATTTTTCTGGGAAAGATTTTGTGCCCTGTAAATCTACAGATAGAACAGACAGTGCCAGGGAAAACCACCATAAGACGTAAGAAGAAGGGTCATTTTCTCACCTGGGGCCTGGTAACTCCACAAGCTATCTCTGGAAAGTGGACAAAGTTTGCAGTGCTGTACAGCTCGTTTTGTGGAGCTACTAGAGTAGTGACAGTTTCTGGTTCAGCCTAGACCTCTATGACTCCAAGGAGCAAAAGATTTACATACAATATCTACTTGAGCTCTACACCAAGCAATCCTGTATGGCTTTGAGTCCCAAGCAAGCGGGCAGCAAGTCAAAGGAGCTAGAGAATGTGGTTCAGTCAATAAAACAAAGGCTACCAGGAGAAAGCTTCCAGACACCTCTACACATATACTAGTTTTGAAGTTAAAATGGGTAAAAAGCTCTTCTGATACTCCAGATTAACAGACTCAAGTCACCATTTCTCAAAGTAATTATAATTGGTGGCATCCATTATTCATTTAACAAACCCAAAGCACAAAATTATCTGAATTGTAACATCAAGGACTCTTGCTTCATAAACTTATATAATCATCAGTTTCTATATAACCCAACTAGTATCGTGAGAAAAATCTCAATGCAACATCCCCAAAAGAGTAAAAAAAGTACGCAAGTAACTGAAGTATCCTTTTTTTAAAAAAACAAAATACTAAATTTCAAGCAAAAAAGGCCAGTTTTCTTAACATCTATTTACCATCTACTTAACTCCTACATAGCTCTCTGTAAAACGACTAGAGTTAACTGGAAAAAAAAAAATTCAGCCAGAGATTTAAGTACTTTAAGCCCCAAGGGAAAAAACTGTTTTTTGTCCACTACCATATATTTATTGATACTCTTTAACTTGGATTCCAAAACCTGGGATTCAAAAATTTACCTATAAATCAATTTCCTTATCTGTAAAATTGAAACAATGCCACTTACAAGACTATGAATTTTAAATAGAATGATTTGTGATTTACCACAAAGAGGATTCCCAAGAAGGGAATGCTGAAACCTAAAGCATCATGTTGGACTTCACAAGTATCTCAAGACCTCAAGATCTCTGCCACTCAATAACATAACCACGTCTACCATGTTAAAACTCTGTATCCTAATTTCCAGTTGCTCAAAATTTTTCAAGACCCTCAACTTCTACAAGTAGAATAGGTGGATGGTATAGCACCTGAAGAAATCAACCTAACTTAGGTTTCACTCTAACTTAAGTTGCACTCTTCCAAGAGCAACAGCTAAAAATGTGTGTACTGCTCCTCTAAAACTTAATTGTAAATGCTTTTGCTAGATGCGTCACTGGTTACCAATCCCACAGTCCAACAAAAAGGAACAGTACAATCAAATCTTGTAAAATAAATCTCTAATGAATTTCAATTTTACGTCTCAAAACTGTAAACTACTGCATACAGCAATGCTACCTTTAAAAGATAAAATAAATAAAAAGTTAAATCTTAAGAAAAATAATCTGTTTTACCTCATTTACACAAATGTCTTTTCAAGGAAAATATAAACATGGGGCTTTCAGACTTTTTAAGAAAGTTATGTGCAAAAGCATTCAAACATTTACTCTTCCCTCCTGCCACCAGAGTTCAACGATGTTGTAAATGGTTTCTGCCTACAAATTTGGTTCGTTCAAACTAAATTTTACTTGACTGACTCACAGAGGGAGTGGTTTGACTCTTGCCGTTCTGAGTCAGAATACACCTGGTTCAGCAGTTCTAAACAATTTCTCACTTGTATAGGTGTCCAAAACGCTGGCCTTTTCCAGCTACCAAATATAACAATTAAACTGTTGCCTTAGTAGGAAAGTCTGAGTGGTAATAATACTTTGAATCTGTAGTTCAATTTATAATTAACAAAGTGCTTTCATATATATTTTCTCACTCGATCTTCGCAATCTCCTGAGGTAAATATCCCACACAGCTGAACAGAAAAACTTCCACAAAGAAGTGACAACTTCTAGTTGACTCTCAGCCCCAATAAACACTCTTTCTCTTTCACCCAAAATAAAAAACATAAAAGGCTGCTGGGTTTCTTTAATCAGACTTTCCTCTCCCAGACATATCCCAGGTGTCTCATAAAAACTCTGTCTTAAAGCACACACCCTGAGGCCCCAAGAGAGTTTCAAGGCAGAATCTCCACCCACATAAAAGCCTAGCTCAGGCCCCAAAGAGCCTCAAGTCAGCATCTCCTAAATGATCCCCTTGCCCCCAGCCATTCAGTCTTCTGCATTAACTTCAACATCTCTCATCTTTCTACAAGCTGCTAGGCCACTGTGTGGATGAGAAAGCTCCAAGTGAGACAAGCTACTGTGAGGGTAATAAGGGTATAGTGGAAAAATCAAGGACTTGGGAGTCAGACAGACCTAGGTGTTTAATCCAGCTCCAATTCTTATTATCTTGTAACCTGGGACAGGTTACTTACCCGCTTTGGGAGTCTCTATATCTCTTCATCTCATCACTGTTAAGTCAACGGCTTATACTTAGAATCACTGTATCCCTAGTGCCTGGCAAATAGAAACCACCCAATATGTGCCGAGTGAACGCAAATGAGGACACCTACCACCTTACAGTAGCTGTGAGAATTAAATGAGTATAAAAAGCACTTGGTGCATAGTAGGCGCTTAATACTAATTAATCTGGTCCCCTACTGAATAGTAACAATACTGTTCACTATTTCTGAAATTGGACAGCATGCTATTGAGAAAAAGGATACTCTAAGAAAAATATAGTTTCTGACTTCTAATCACACGTCAATGATTTTGCCTGTAAATCTATGACATCTACTATCAAAAGGACCACCCTACTTTCGCTTATCATACTGAAAGACTCCCAACTTCTAAGAAACTTCCCATCATTAACATGTAAAACCCATCAAAGTACTCTTCATCAAGAACCCCTAATTCTACAACACAAGAATCTGGGGAAAGTCCGTGACAATCATTAGTCCACTCACTAGCCAATATGAAACAATTTAAAAAACGTCAGGATCAGAATACAAATATGAAACAACTTAAAAAACGTCAGGATCAGAATACCGGCAAACAGCTGCTCACCACCTTCACCAACACAATGGTGTGCTGGCAAGTAATTCTGAAGCCTTAAAAATGTGTCATTCTCCAGCCTTAATTTCCTTTTGCACATTGAACAAAGCACAACTTCATTCACTTCCTGTCAGAAACTACTCTGTAATACCGAGCGTGGCAGCAACTCAGCAGGCACGGTATTCTAATCCAGGAGGAGTTGTAGTTTGGTGACTCCAAACAAACAAGCATTTGCTGAATGCCTATAGTGATGGTACAACTGCCAGACATTTTGTATGTTTCCTGACAAATTCCAGGAAATAATAAACTAGCCTATGGTTCTTCTTCATCATCAATATGTTACATTATTATGATTATTTCTTAAGAGCTTTTCTCCAGGAAGGTAAGAAAGAGCCACAACCTAAAAAATATTACTTCAATTTACCTATCAATAAAACTCCTCTCACCTGAAAAACTAGCAGTACTTTACAAGAGTCTACGCTTCTGAACACGCTAACGGCAAGAGCCTACGATCCTGGGCAATGGACAAGCTTGTTTTACTTAGCTCCTAGAGCCCCAGAGTAGGATGAGATGGCCACCGTATTTGTGACAAATTTGGAAATTTATGTCGATATCATGAAACATGGGGGAAAAATTTACACACACAAAAAAAAGCACACCCTTTCTTTAAAAAGACCCAGAGCTAGAAAAATGATAGTACCAGTGGAATATATTCCTAAACCCTTCCCTCATACTTGAACCCGAGGACCCGGGACAAGATGCTCCTGGAAAGAACTCCCTAACCCAGGGCACCAGGATCACTATCGCCATTCACAGTGACCAAGGAGAAAGACCTCCAGGATGCCCGCTCCCACAGGGGCGAACGCAGAAACACCCTTCCGCGCTCCCTCGCCCGCCGTTCACCTTCCCCCCGGCCCCTCGCTCGCACACGGCACTCCTGTTCTCCCCCCGCGCTGCCCCACTCTCCCCCTCCCACTCCGCCATTCACCCCTCTCTCCCCCACACTCGTGCTCCCCACACTCGCTCACTCATTCCCACACGCCCCCCCACACTCACTCTCATCCGCTCACTCATACTCTCCGCTGCACTCACCCACACACGCTCCGTCCCCCCTCACTCACACCCACACTCACTCTCCTCTACACTCACCCACACTCCCCCAGATCCTGTCCCCAACTCCCACCCTCGCCCCTCACCCCTCACGCACACCCAGCCCTCTCCCCAACTCACGCGCTCGCCTTCACGCACGCATTTCCCCCCGCACCCAACATTCTTCCACACAGCACACGTCCCTCCGCGTCCACGCGCACGATCCCCCGTTCCGCACCCACCCTCGTCCTCCACGCAGCCCGGCCGCGCTCCCCCCGCCCGGCCCCGGCCCGGCCCTCCTTCCGGGGACGTGTCTCGGGCCTGCACTAATGGCTGCGGCGCCTCCCGCCCTCCGCTTCCCCGAGGCCCCGGGAGCCGGCGCGGGGCCGCCCGGAGGCGCGCACTCACGCTGGCGAGCTGGGGACTGGGCATTGAAGTCCGGCGGCGGCGGGAGCGAGGAGGCGCCTCTCTCCTCAGTCACCTCGGCGGCGGCGGCGGCGGCGGTAGCGGTGGCGGCGGCGGCGACGACTCCCCCCCAGCCTCGGCGCGCGACACCCGGCCCGGCCCGGCGGCGGCGACGGCGGCGCGTGTCCACGAGTCCGTCTTGCTGCAACTGCTGCGGCCGCCGCTGCGTCTCCTGCTGCCGCCGCTGCCCCCGCTGCCGCCGCTGCCCTGTGGCGTCGCCTCGCGCCGTGCCCGGCCGCCGCTGCCGCTCCAGCCGCTACCGGACGGACGACGGTTACAGCCCGGCCGATCGCGCCGCCGCCACCACCGCTGCGCGCGCAGCCGGAACCAGCTCCCGCCGCCGCCCCTCAGGGGGCGCTGCGGGGCGCGGCGCGCGCGCCCGCCGGCCAGCCCCCCGCGCCCGCTGATTGGCTGGCCGGCCAGCTCGAGGGGCGGTTGGGCCCGCCCACCTGCCCCGCAGGGCGCTGACCCACTGCCCTCGGCGCCGCCCCCGCTCCTCCCCGGGGTTCGTTCCGCTCCGCGCTCCTGACTGCGGAAGGCGCGTCCATGTGACCCGGGAGGGGGCAGAAGGCGGCCTGCGGAGTCCTCCGCCCACGCCGCGGCCCACCCATCCGCACCTGGGCTAGGGCCACGGCCCGAGGCCGCGGGGTGACCCGCAAGGTCGAAGGGCTTTTTCCCCCATGTCCGGCCGTGAGGCCTGGGGCCAGATCCTGATGAGACTGGGCGGCGACCGAGGCCTTTGCTCGGGGATTTCCAAGTCAGAAGTGAGAACCAGGGCAGCTCAGTTCTTGGCTGCCCTTCTTCGAGGCCTCAAATAAATGGCGTGTGCGTCTGCAATTGCAAGGATGTTTCTGCGCCACCCCCCCCCCCCC